CTTTTCGGAACCTAGCAGGGAACTCTCAACCTGGCGGGCAATGAACACATAAGCCAGGTAGCAATCTCGTTCCCAGAGACTGCGATACTTTTGGTCAGCTACCCGGTTGTCCCTTCCACTGGAGAGGGATAAGGAAGGCTCTGGAGACGAGACTAACTTCGTCAGAAGCCGAATAAAGATGACGTGAGTTTTCCGACCACGCCGTCCTTCTCCGGTGAATTATGTCACTTCAGTGGTGCAGGGGGCCAGGGGAGGCAAGGGGAGATTGGCATATTTGCTGAAGGTAGCCTGCGTGCAGACGTCTCCTGCTTCCTCTGTTGCATGCGTTTGCACGCAGGCTAGACTGAGGGGGGAATAACTGGATGGCAAAATACCGCCATACAACTTCGTCCCCATTGCAGAAGGAAAAGACCCTGGGAACAAGGTTGCGAAGAGCCCGCCAAGAGCCACCATTTTTATTTTTGAAGATTTAACCAATCAAAGTCTCTGTGTGAAAATCACCAATCAGCGATGGTTTTAGTTCGCTGTGTCCCAGGGTCTTCTCTCCTGTCGCCACCATGTTGGAAAACGAGAAGGCCCTGGAGACGAAATTGCAAAATATACAGTTCTTTCAATCGTGTAAGGATAAAAGAAATAAATTTTATTCCCTAAAATAAACGAGAACAAATGTTAAGCTGTAAGTGCCTGGCATTCTCTTTTTCTCTGTCTGATGGATCAGGGGTGGGGGGTGGGGAGGAAGTGTAGGTCTGATTCAGACAACGGACTTCGGTACCACCACCACCGGCATGTGAGCGTGATGCAAGACGTAGTCACTAACACTTCCTAATATGGTGCGACGAATAGTTCCCGTCCCTCGGCTCCCAACAACAATAAATGAAGCTCCCTGTTCTTTTGCTTGTTTACAGATGATCTCTCCTGGTGGTCCATCGGTCACGATAATCTTTGCTGATAGCTAGGAAACAAGAAAGACCAATCAACCTTAAAGGAGGCCATATCCCCGAGGGAGCTAAGTCGGCTTTTTCACAGACCAGCCTATTTTTATCAATTTTCCCGCGAATTTTGAATATCAAATGAGTCTTTTAAATCAGTAATTAAAAACTGGAGACTAGAAAAAAGTACTTTTGATGTTTTGACAGCATTGACCTCTTCTTTTTGTAATTTTTTGTAATTTTCATATTATGGATATGTACGCATACGGAACGGTGCTTCCATTTTAGCGGGAAAAAGGGCTTAAAATGATGCTAAAATAACTTGATCCGTGAAAACACTGTTGCATAGTCTGAGTTGCGCATGCTGTGGGGTTTGGCTCCTGCCAGACTTTGCCAGAATTAATTAATCATTTTTCTTTTCTTTCTTTTTTCTTTCGGTGAAGGTGGATTCTAATATTGTTTAATTTTTGATGAAACAGATTTTAGAGAAATTTTATTATTGTGTATATTTTTACTAAATATATACTTAGTTGCTGTTTTAGGTATGGTGATGCAAGAGCCATGTATTTATTATCAATAATACATTTGATTATTTTTGTTTCATTACATACCACTTATTAACTTCGTCCGTTCGGTCATTTCAGGGAAATCTCAGACCGAAGCTTTGATGCGGAGTGTATTGAACGAGCGATAGCGAGGTCAATACATCAAGGCCTCGGTCTGAGATCTCCCTGTAATGACCGAACAGACGAGGTTAATAAGTTATTTTCATCATGGACCTGATCCTGAAAAAATTAAAACTAATGACTGGTCAGCGAATAACTTTAAGAACACGTCACCTCCATGAGTTGTACACTTGAGCCAGCGATACAGCGATATAGTCATGTGAAACTGGTCAGCGGATACTTTTTTGACAGCTGTCAGTTGACTATAACATGGATATTTATAGGATGTGCACTATCGAGTTAAACACAGATTGTATATGCCATGGACATCTGGCTAGTAATGCCCGGTCATACATGCAAGAAATTAAATAATACCCCCTTAGCAACCCGCTTAGCAGCCAATCAGAGCGCGCGTACTATTGTAGCCGTATAATAAATGTTCAAAACAAACCTTTAAGGCTTTGCACTTTTCCTCATATCTCCTCTCGAGTTCATTAATAGTTTTTTCATGTTTGGCAACTTCACGTGTCCACTCGTCTGTGAGAATCATGTCTAAACAGAGACGCATATGTCAACATTCTTATATCCTCCAGAGCTTAGATCCCCAACTCTCCCCCCGACAATATTTAGCAGCTCCGAAGAAAAAGAAATTAAATTTACACACTACTTGATGGCTTCGTTTGGTGTCCCCATAGCATAATTCCGAAAAAAGGGGTTAGTTTTATAGCTGTTGGTTTGCATGGGCGGAGCGTGAAGTCACGAGAAGTTGAGTGAAGAAAAGAACTAGAAAGCTTAGTCTTCCTCTTAGTTTCTGTCTCGTCACTCAACGCATAATGAAAAAAAAAACGGCTTCGTGGGAGACTGCTGTAGAAGACAGAGATTTCACCAGGTTGAAGTATTATAAAAGGGTAAGGAAATCCTTCATTTAGGCATTTAAAAGGGCCTTAAGTTAAAATATTTTAAACAGACGCACCTTAGTTTAATAATTTACTATGTTCTCCTTCAAATATCTTTCATTAATTTTATTCCAGGGCGGGGCTGTCATAATTAAGAGCCGTGGGCCCGGGATTTCCCCCGGCAACTATGAACATGGTCCCCAGCTACTTTCATAGGAAAACAGAAGAAAAATAACACCAAAAGAAGTCTCTAGCTGTTTGATTCCCCTGCTTATTTCATTGTTGTATTTACCTGGCAACTTGAAATCTTAGTGACAGCGGTGTTCTTAGGTACACTGTAAGTATGTGAAACGAGGGTTACCACTTTTCATGAAGGAAAGGGTACCCTTGCTGTCACAGAATGGTAAAAAAAAGAACCAGGGATTGGAGCTCGCGGAGGAAATTTTGTTAATTAGCCGGGACAGGTCCCTTCCAAATGAGAATCGAAATAGTTGCCAAGGTGCGTCTGACCACTATAGTTTGATCCAATCTCCAACCCAAATTACTTATCACTTCTGTAGAGTTAACGTAAAGACTTGTACTTACGAGGCATAACGGGTGGGTGCAGCTCATGCGAATGTATGATGACCAATTTATCTCCTTCATGGTAAATGTTTGACATAAACCCTGCATAGACAAAATTGTACTGCGACTGTTAAACTATATTTTTAAAAATGCATATTAAATGCACGCGAAATAGCTGTTGTTGTTGTTGTTTTAATTAATGTTTTATTGTTGTTTTTTCCTGGCCTGGTACAACTAACCACAGGTACAATCATATAGGAGACAATTGATGAACTTCGAACGAAAAACACTCATCCTAGTGCATGGCGATTAGCATCGCAGTTCCGCTCGCTCACGTACGAGACTTAAGTTCTCATCACTTTCCTTATACTCACTCCTCCCTAAAAAACTCCACATCCATGAAGTTTTAATGACACAGTGGTGTGTTTGTGATGTCCATGTTTCTACTGATACAAAATATATCTCCTGTGATTTCTCTTTCTTGGATCTGTTGGATGATTCGTGCGTTTAAAACTCCTGAAATCGAGTTTGCGTTTTCAATGACCCGTGGGCTCAAATTAGCTGCACATCGCTGAATCTCCTGAATAATTGTTTATTGCGAACCAATTAAAAAATGCACTGATGCATTACCAATTATTTCTTCCTAAACAAATGGCAAAAATTTTAAGACACTACTGACTAAAGTAACAGGCTAAACTAAACTGAACGAAAATAAATTGAGGTCAGCCGGTAATCGCAGCTCTGAAATAGTTGAAATCAACCAATACAGGGTCAATACATAGTAAAAAAGACAAAAATACTGTTTCTCATTCCCGTAGCAGTGTGTCATGTAGGTAGTATAAAAAAAAGAGAGGAGGTAAAAAAAATGGGGGGTGGGGGGGGGATAGGTAAAAAGGACCAGGCTCGTGGAAAAGGAAAATATGGGTGAGAAAATTTTTGAGGGGGGGGGGGGGTGTGAATCATGTAAGTTGGCAAGAGTTATGAAGTGGGGATGACTTCAGCGAACTAACATTTGAAAAGGGGGAATCCGCTACCTTTTACCGTGTTAAGCTTAAATTAAAATCCCTCACCGCCCCCCACCCTCGCCAGGAGATAAATAATGCATGACTGGTCCGTAAGAGCCTAGGAATCAAGTGTCGTAAGACGGGGCGGGAATTAAGAGACCCTAGGAACGAAGTCACCAAGTTTGCACTTCCTTTTCGGAACCTAGCAGGGAACTCTCAACCTGGCGGGCAATGAACACATAAGCCAGGTAGCAATCTCGTTCCCAGAGACTGCGATACTTTTGGTCAGCTACCCGGTTGTCCCTTCCACTGGAGAGGGATAAGGAAGGCTCTGGAGACGAGACTAACTTCGTCAGAAGCCGAATAAAGATGACGTGAGTTTTCCGACCACGCCGTCCTTCTCCGGTGAATTATGTCACTTCAGTGGTGCAGGGGGCCAGGGGAGGCAAGGGGAGATTGGCATATTTGCTGAAGGTAGCCTGCGTGCAGACGTCTCCTGCTTCCTCTGTTGCATGCGTTTGCACGCAGGCTAGACTGAGGGGGGAATAACTGGATGGCAAAATACCGCCATACAACTTCGTCCCCATTGCAGAAGGAAAAGACCCTGGGAACAAGGTTGCGAAGAGCCCGCCAAGAGCCACCATTTTTATTTTTGAAGATTTAACCAATCAAAGTCTCTGTGTGAAAATCACCAATCAGCGATGGTTTTAGTTCGCTGTGTCCCAGGGTCTTCTCTCCTGTCGCCACCATGTTGGAAAACGAGAAGGCCCTGGAGACGAAATTGCAAAATATACAGTTCTTTCAATCGTGTAAGGATAAAAGAAATAAATTTTATTCCCTAAAATAAACGAGAACAAATGTTAAGCTGTAAGTGCCTGGCATTCTCTTTTTCTCTGTCTGATGGATCAGGGGTGGGGGGTGGGGAGGAAGTGTAGGTCTGATTCAGACAACGGACTTCGGTACCACCACCACCGGCATGTGAGCGTGATGCAAGACGTAGTCACTAACACTTCCTAATATGGTGCGACGAATAGTTCCCGTCCCTCGGCTCCCAACAACAATAAATGAAGCTCCCTGTTCTTTTGCTTGTTTACAGATGATCTCTCCTGGTGGTCCATCGGTCACGATAATCTTTGCTGATAGCTAGGAAACAAGAAAGACCAATCAACCTTAAAGGAGGCCATATCCCCGAGGGAGCTAAGTCGGCTTTTTCACAGACCAGCCTATTTTTATCAATTTTCCCGCGAATTTTGAATATCAAATGAGTCTTTTAAATCAGTAATTAAAAACTGGAGACTAGAAAAAAGTACTTTTGATGTTTTGACAGCATTGACCTCTTCTTTTTGTAATTTTTTGTAATTTTCATATTATGGATATGTACGCATACGGAACGGTGCTTCCATTTTAGCGGGAAAAAGGGCTTAAAATGATGCTAAAATAACTTGATCCGTGAAAACACTGTTGCATAGTCTGAGTTGCGCATGCTGTGGGGTTTGGCTCCTGCCAGACTTTGCCAGAATTAATTAATCATTTTTCTTTTCTTTCTTTTTTCTTTCGGTGAAGGTGGATTCTAATATTGTTTAATTTTTGATGAAACAGATTTTAGAGAAATTTTATTATTGTGTATATTTTTACTAAATATATACTTAGTTGCTGTTTTAGGTATGGTGATGCAAGAGCCATGTATTTATTATCAATAATACATTTGATTATTTTTGTTTCATTACATACCACTTATTAACTTCGTCCGTTCGGTCATTTCAGGGAAATCTCAGACCGAAGCTTTGATGCGGAGTGTATTGAACGAGCGATAGCGAGGTCAATACATCAAGGCCTCGGTCTGAGATCTCCCTGTAATGACCGAACAGACGAGGTTAATAAGTTATTTTCATCATGGACCTGATCCTGAAAAAATTAAAACTAATGACTGGTCAGCGAATAACTTTAAGAACACGTCACCTCCATGAGTTGTACACTTGAGCCAGCGATACAGCGATATAGTCATGTGAAACTGGTCAGCGGATACTTTTTTGACAGCTGTCAGTTGACTATAACATGGATATTTATAGGATGTGCACTATCGAGTTAAACACAGATTGTATATGCCATGGACATCTGGCTAGTAATGCCCGGTCATACATGCAAGAAATTAAATAATACCCCCTTAGCAACCCGCTTAGCAGCCAATCAGAGCGCGCGTACTATTGTAGCCGTATAATAAATGTTCAAAACAAACCTTTAAGGCTTTGCACTTTTCCTCATATCTCCTCTCGAGTTCATTAATAGTTTTTTCATGTTTGGCAACTTCACGTGTCCACTCGTCTGTGAGAATCATGTCTAAACAGAGACGCATATGTCAACATTCTTATATCCTCCAGAGCTTAGATCCCCAACTCTCCCCCCGACAATATTTAGCAGCTCCGAAGAAAAAGAAATTAAATTTACACACTACTTGATGGCTTCGTTTGGTGTCCCCATAGCATAATTCCGAAAAAAGGGGTTAGTTTTATAGCTGTTGGTTTGCATGGGCGGAGCGTGAAGTCACGAGAAGTTGAGTGAAGAAAAGAACTAGAAAGCTTAGTCTTCCTCTTAGTTTCTGTCTCGTCACTCAACGCATAATGAAAAAAAAAACGGCTTCGTGGGAGACTGCTGTAGAAGACAGAGATTTCACCAGGTTGAAGTATTATAAAAGGGTAAGGAAATCCTTCATTTAGGCATTTAAAAGGGCCTTAAGTTAAAATATTTTAAACAGACGCACCTTAGTTTAATAATTTACTATGTTCTCCTTCAAATATCTTTCATTAATTTTATTCCAGGGCGGGGCTGTCATAATTAAGAGCCGTGGGCCCGGGATTTCCCCCGGCAACTATGAACATGGTCCCCAGCTACTTTCATAGGAAAACAGAAGAAAAATAACACCAAAAGAAGTCTCTAGCTGTTTGATTCCCCTGCTTATTTCATTGTTGTATTTACCTGGCAACTTGAAATCTTAGTGACAGCGGTGTTCTTAGGTACACTGTAAGTATGTGAAACGAGGGTTACCACTTTTCATGAAGGAAAGGGTACCCTTGCTGTCACAGAATGGTAAAAAAAAGAACCAGGGATTGGAGCTCGCGGAGGAAATTTTGTTAATTAGCCGGGACAGGTCCCTTCCAAATGAGAATCGAAATAGTTGCCAAGGTGCGTCTGACCACTATAGTTTGATCCAATCTCCAACCCAAATTACTTATCACTTCTGTAGAGTTAACGTAAAGACTTGTACTTACGAGGCATAACGGGTGGGTGCAGCTCATGCGAATGTATGATGACCAATTTATCTCCTTCATGGTAAATGTTTGACATAAACCCTGCATAGACAAAATTGTACTGCGACTGTTAAACTATATTTTTAAAAATGCATATTAAATGCACGCGAAATAGCTGTTGTTGTTGTTGTTTTAATTAATGTTTTATTGTTGTTTTTTCCTGGCCTGGTACAACTAACCACAGGTACAATCATATAGGAGACAATTGATGAACTTCGAACGAAAAACACTCATCCTAGTGCATGGCGATTAGCATCGCAGTTCCGCTCGCTCACGTACGAGACTTAAGTTCTCATCACTTTCCTTATACTCACTCCTCCCTAAAAAACTCCACATCCATGAAGTTTTAATGACACAGTGGTGTGTTTGTGATGTCCATGTTTCTACTGATACAAAATATATCTCCTGTGATTTCTCTTTCTTGGATCTGTTGGATGATTCGTGCGTTTAAAACTCCTGAAATCGAGTTTGCGTTTTCAATGACCCGTGGGCTCAAATTAGCTGCACATCGCTGAATCTCCTGAATAATTGTTTATTGCGAACCAATTAAAAAATGCACTGATGCATTACCAATTATTTCTTCCTAAACAAATGGCAAAAATTTTAAGACACTACTGACTAAAGTAACAGGCTAAACTAAACTGAACGAAAATAAATTGAGGTCAGCCGGTAATCGCAGCTCTGAAATAGTTGAAATCAACCAATACAGGGTCAATACATAGTAAAAAAGACAAAAATACTGTTTCTCATCATCAGAGTCGTAAGGATTATGTTTTCATACTTACAGTCAAATGCTTTTTCGCTATATTCACTGGGATCCACAGCAATTGCTATAGTTCTGTGAGACATGGTTTTCAGCACGAAGACGGCCGAAATTCCTGTAGCTGTCTGGGGCGCTGAAGGGCACTAAGGTTCATTCTTATAATTACCCTAGTCACGCTTTTCCGCCAGTCATGCTTTGTTATTTCTTTTTCTTATATAAATGCAAAATTAAAAGGTGTTGAATGTGCTCCTCAGCTCATTGTTTATAAGCATTTAATTTAGTTTGTGCGCCTAACAGTCACCGTTTTGTCGCCAAATCTTGAATTCCTTGAAACTGTTTTATTTTTCGAAGGAAAGACGGTCAATATTGGAACAGAATGATGATATAACAAGTCACGAAACGGCTGAATAATGGCAAAACTACCGAAACTAAGAAACTGCTGCACTGCACCAAATGATTTCACGATCACACACTCAACAGCTTCTCAAAGACAATTTATTCAATACTATAGAGATATAATAAGGCATACAAATTTATTATGAAAGCAGCACGTATCAAAAGTCAAAATGGTAGTCAAAACGACAATATTGCAGGCTGTAACTCTGCTTCTCCACATGTAAAGGAATCCAAGACAGTCTTGGATTCTGGATTGCGGATTCCAGGTACTGGATTCCGGCTCTTTGTCAGTGGACCTTGGATTCTGGATTCGTTAGTGGCATTCCGTATTCCTTGAGCTGTATTCCCTATTCCAAAGCCCAAGATTCCGGATTCTACAATAAAAAATTTCCCGGATTCAGGAATCCGGATTCCCTTCCATTGGGCGATCTGCTGTTAAATTCAGTAGCCACCAACAGATCACGCGCATAAAAGCTGCAGCTTGCGTAACTGGTCAGATCGGCGCATCGGACTCGCAATTTTGGAAGTGCCGCGCTCAAGTCCCCATCTGACGTGATCTTCTGGATGTATGTCCCGGTTGCCCCGAGATTAAATCCTCCACCACGCTCGTAAATACCCCACTGGTTCATGCTGGTTGCTTCCTGTTGAGGATTTTAATCGCTTTGTGTTTTAGATATTTAATTTGGAGTCATTTAAGTGGATCTCAGTGGATCGAGTGCCCGTAAACTAGGTAGGAGAAGCTAGTTGCATTCAGATTAAAAGTAAAGCATTCACAATTCAACATTTAGACTTAGCGACATAGCTCTTCATACTAAGGCCCCTTTTAAATGTCAGGCCATTCAGCTCTTTCCATAGTTATTTTACAATTGCGCGCGCGTTATGATTAAGTAAAAAATTCCATAAACACTCCCTCAATTTCGTTCCATTTTCCTCCTGCCAGCTCCTACTCTTCTAATATTCAAGTCTTCAGGGGAGTTTATCCTGTTCTCTTGGTACCACTAACACCGGAATATGAGTATGGTGAATAACATAGTCGCTGACACTTCCCAATATAGTACGACGGACGGTTCCCTCTCCACGGCAACCCATCACAATAAGGGTTGCATCTTGCTCCATAGCAACCCTACATATAACTTGTCCAGGGGGGCCAGGCTGAACAATAATCTTTGCCTCTATCTTTGGAGAGAACAATAAGCATGGTTGTGAACTAGCGTACAGTCTTCTCAAGGCGTCTGTCTAAAACCATAGAATGTTCTGCGTTAAGTTTTCTTTTTGTTATGCACGAGTTTCGAGTAACGCGGTGAATTTTACAACTGCTTGCATGCATGTACTTGCGATTTGCGTTGTGGACCCAAAATTACGCATGTATGTGCTTTCCTGTTGTCTGCCTTGTTGCGTTACATCTGTGTTTCGAATTCTTATTGGACCCTTCGAATAGTCCGGTCTCTTATGACTGGCCAGAAAAAAAATTAAGTTTTGATTTAACTACATTAAATGTACTTGTTCTTTTTAGACTGCTTGCAGTCCGCCTTTTCTAGTCCGTCTAATTCTTCGAAAGTTCCTCACGGATTGCTTTCCGATATCTAAGAAGATGACTCCATTGATGATTGAAAAGTTTGGATTAACAGTTAAGTGATTTCTGTGACAAAATTACATGCTTTCCGCTCTCCGTCAGTTCCTTTTTCGTTTTTCCTTAGATGTAATGTAATTAAAGTAAAACTATGATAGAAATAAGAATTATTGTAACGCAAAATATTTTCCTTCTTTTCATTTCCTTTCACTTTATTCTTCTTTTAACTGGGCCGCCTAGATTAGCAATTGCTATTTTGCGGGCCAGCCTATTGTAATTACTATTTTTTTTAAATTTTTTGTTAAATAAAAGTTGAAGTTGAAGTTTATCGCAGCCAGCACGATTGCAAACCACGACGTTGGCGTTCGCCCTCTTTTATCGCGGCTCGCTGCTTTTCCGCGCGTCAAATGCGTGCTTGGGTTTTGCGTGCAGTAACTTTGCAAAGAAAAATAAGAGACTGCTGCAGTCTAGTTCTTGTACGCAAATAGAGCAGACTCTTTCCACTTTATCAATGTATTTCTACTTGGGCTAAGTTCACACATCACCGGATAAATATTGACTGGTTGCCGAAAATTCGTAATTGATTTCTTCCTTTGACACTGAACCACCGTCACCGTATGACTAAATTTGACTCCTAGCAGTTTAAAACTAACTTGAAAGTCAAAATTGAGGTCAAATTTTTAACCGGTACGGTCGAAAATTGTATCAGCGCGGTGTAAACACCATAAGAGGGTCTCAATGGGGTGGTGGCTTTTACGGTTATCGGCTAAAATTTTGGCTCTTTTACAGCTATCGGTTAATTTTTTTCAGTTACGGTTAACAAAAAAGTTAAATATTAACTTCTTTTGTTTCAAAAAGTTAAATATTAATTAACCTGTATTTTTGGTATCTTTAAAGCAAAATAAAGGTCTTACGATCATCTCGGGATGAAATAAGCTATTCTTTTGAATACTTTTCTTATAAAGTATTCCACGTCTAATTTTACTTTACACATAGAAATGTCAATAGTCAATTTAAAAATAATCTTTGTGAAAAAGCAAAGCACACACGCGAACGCCCAACTGAAGACCGGGGCGCGACATTCATTACAACAGAAATGGCCGTTTTCACACTAGAGACAGATTATTCGTGTGAGACGGGTTATCCGTTTGATGATTCGCGTCAGATAGGTAATACGTCTTAATTTGAAAATGGAATAGTTTCAATTTTGAATGAAAAATCTGCCTGAATTTGTCCGTCAATTTCGACGGACAGTTTGAAGACGGGATTATCCGTTCCAGATAGCCTGTGTACAGCCGCCCCCTCAGGAAAAATCGGAGAAGAGGTGTCTGTCGGGAAGGGGGCGACTGTACACAGGCTAGTCTCAGACGGATCTAGACGGATCTAGTGTGAAAACGGTCAATAACAAAATTCTGGTGTCCAGTGTTTTTAATGGTAGCGAAGGACTATACGGTACGACTGTTTGCCGTTGCCTTGTCATAGGCCTCATTATTTCGCACATCTAATACGTTTCGGGTCACGTGGTCCGAGCGAGTTCGCCACCGAAATGCCTTGATCGAGATGGCGTGGGAAGACGTCATACCGGGACTAGGCATGGCAATGTCTACCGTAGTGTCAGAGAAAAACAGGGAAATGTTGTTTATCGGCAACGTATTTTACAAACAGTGACATCTCTGCGTGTTGTTTCACTAGTGTTTCGAGCAATCAGGAAAAAGCGCCCTGGGGACGAGGTTGTGTTTCGAGGGCACGACCTTCTGAAAATCGCGAATATGAATTCCCAGCAAGAAGCCACACTTTCGCTATGGAAAAAAATAGTTCCCCGAGAGAGCGGCGGAAGTGGAGCCTAGGTCTAGGTCAACACCTAAAAGGCGCCTAGCCTAACGTGCGTACGGAGTCAAAGTAGCCGGAAAATAAAAAAAAAACGCAACCATAAGTGTCAAAAGTGAGTTTAGTACCTTCCTTAAAAGTAGCAAATCTAGGGAACACTTTCTTTTACGGTTAACTTTTTTTTACCCTATTTACGGCTAACGGTTAAAATTTTTCAATTTTTACGGCTATCGAATAAATTTTTGGCCGTTTGACGCCTATCGGTTAACCCCATTGAGATCCTCCCATAACCGTTTAAATTTTGTACGACAAATTTTCCCGGCGCGATGTGAACCCCTTAATGGTCTATTTCTTTTAGGGCACAGTCGTGGCTTCGTGGATGCGTAGTAATTAAAGGTACCGAAAAACGGGCGGGAAAAAAAAACGTGCAACTTGTCTTGCAACATTGCTGCAAAACGAGTTGAATAGCGATGTTGCACGTTTTACCACCCACGTCAAACCTGTTAACAATTAAGCTGATTTGTTGCAAGACAGGTTTGATGGTAAAACGCGCAACATCGCTATTCAACTCGTTTAGCAGCAATATGGCAAGACAAGTTAAACGTTTTTTGTTGCCCGTTTCCGTACCTTAAGCTGTAAGACGCCGATTTTGGATTTGCGTAACTAAGCAGCAATCTGTTCCCTGTTAGCACAGGCACTCTGTGCATGGGTAGATGGTAAAACTTCTGACAATAGTTAAGATTCAACCTGGTTAGTCAGTTCCGTGTGAATTGAAAGCGAGAAAATATTGAACGGTTTTGGCACGTAAATGAAATATCCGGTCAAATTTTTGAGCAGGTCGAAAATTCGTTCGATGCCAAGTAAACGTGGCATTAAACTCTCGCGAACACTTCTTACAGGCTTACCTTCAATGGTTTACATTTGCGTCTATATTTCTTTTCCAGATCTTTAATGAACTGGTCATGTTTCTCGACTTCGCGCTTCCATCCTTCTGTTGCTATCGTTTCTGGAAGAGTTAAACATTAGTCTAGTCTAAAGGGCTAAATGATCTTTTACAATTTTTTTTTACATTCAAATGGACATAAAATACCCCCCAGCTTCTGCAGTAAAACGGGGCGGAATTAGATCGAATACCTGTTAACAGAGGGGACAAAAACAGACCATTTACGTAATGCGTAATTCAAATGTTTTTTTTTGATAACGTAAATTAGGCATGGCTATCTGAGCTAAAGAAACAAGTTTGAATAAAGACATATCCATAAAAACTAGCAGGAAAAGCCTGAGAGCGAAAGTTGCTGTTGTTTCAGTTATGATTTGCTATATTCGCGCTCTTATACTAAATGGATAAAATGAAATGTTTTGGAGATCTGACTTAAGTACCTACCTAACAAGACCGGCGATTGCAACTCGTGCGAGTGGATAAGAACCAGTTGGTCTCCATCATGATAGACGTGTTCCTTATACCCTTAAAAAAGATGGTAATTCGTGAAAATGACATATTTTAATATTTTTCGCGCAAAAACATGATATCTTCACACGTGACCTTATTATAGGAAATAAACGCTTCATGAAATTAACGCGAACTTCAAACATTCGCGTTAATTTAAGTCGCGATAATTTCTTGAAACACTAATTTCCGCGCCGTTTATTAAGTGGAGCGTTAATTTCCCAGACCTTAATTTCCATTATTTTGTATACACTTCAGACATCTCCTGACACCTACGAAAGGGGAGTATTTTATCAGGGTGGAAATCCGCCAGCAACAGAGAAACTATGAAGATCTCTCGAAGTGGTCAGCAGATTTCCTCGCAAGCATCCGCTTGACCCCCTTCGTACATTTAAGGAAAGTACCACGGAAAAAGTTTGCATTAAAGATTATATGTTTACCTTGATTTCCGTTGTTTCAGCAAGTTTTCTTTCTTTGTGAGCGTCGCGTTAATTTCCTTCATTTGAATTGTTACCTTTCTTTTGCGTTAATTTTCTTTATTTGAAAGTCGTTTTCCACTTAAGATCGCGTTAATTTAAGTCGCGTTAATTTCCAATCCCTTAATTTCATCGCGCATTTACTTCAAAAAATAAGGTAACAGTCGTAACATTTTATTTTCAAGATCACTGTTGCTATGGTTACTTAATGAATCGCGACTTTCGCAGCCAAAAAACATTCTACAGTAAAATGGTTGGGTAGTTGGTGGTGTGGTTATCTTGTTAATACTGTTAGTCTGGTCCTTAGCTCTCTCTCTGTCACTCTCGTACAAGCGGTGGCACAATGAGAGGGACAGAAATGAACTATGTTGGTGATGGCGATGGGGGCCGTGCTGATAATTATGATAGCGGCATAGATATGGTAGATGTCAACCATGGTATATAATCACTATGGTGGCAATATGTGATAACCACCGTAATGATGTTGGTAGTTGTTGGTGCTGATAATGGCGACTGTCTGCATTACTCATTTTTGTTCCCAGGGTTTCTTTTCTTCCTTTCCCAGGACGAGAGATCCTGGATACGATGTTAGACCAACAGGACACTCGTTATAAAAGCCTGCAAACTTCAAAGATGAAAACAGCGGTGCTGCAGTTTACGTTGGAAGTTCCTTGACCATCATCCTTCGGTTTTTGTTCACAAATTGTGACGGCATGAATTAATGCGATGTTTCCTTTGGTCAGTTAGTTCAAAATGATAGGAATACTATTGAGCGTTGTTCCCTGTCAAGTCTAATAAAGCTAACATAAACATATAACAAAGAAGTCTGTCGGGCTTATAACCGTTCCACTTTCTTAACTACGGTATGGCCATGCTTGACCGAGAGACTAAAGCCTGCATTCAGGGCCCTCGCAGGGGGAGGGGCTGGAAGGGGGGCAGGGTCCCCCAACTTTTTGAAAAAAAAATTTCATAAAATTAAGAAATACACTTTTTTAACAAGGAATTTTGATGGAATAACAATTTTCGTCTGGCGGGCCTCGGTGACGCATCCAAATTTATATGATTGCTCCGTTTCGATCCTATATCATCAGTGGTAAGCCTTTATAAAACTGCACTTAGTCGTAGACTTCTGCGTATTCAACAGCCAGGTGATGTAATATATTCAACAATGGAGTCTTTTCTACCAAGGTACGGAGCTACGATTTCTTGAAACAAATTAAACTCGAAGACAACATGAATAACTTTCAGCGGAGCATGAAATCGCCCCGATCTGCAAACTTCTGCTGGTTAATCCTGCAGCCATCGCAGCAGGAAAAGGTCCTTAACGGCAGCTCGAAGGTTAAAAAATGGCTCCGTTCAACAATGACTAAAGAAAGGTTCTAAACAGCCGCAAGGAAAGAACGGGCAAACTTTGAAGAGAATGAAAAACGCGAAAAATTGATGAGTTGTAACTGTATTAAAAAATATTGAGTCGGCACGTGGTAAACCATTTTTAAAGCCCACTACCCCACCCCCCCCCCGCTCCCCCGCCCCCCCAACTGCACTTTAAAAGAGGTGGATCGTCCCCGGCACTTTGACTCGTCCCCAGGGTCTTCTCGTTCTCCAATATGGAGGCTGCGGGACCACTGAGGACAGACTGAGGACGAGGCAGTCCTTTCATGCCTGTCTACCTGAAAAACTAACTGCCAGGATTACTGAGTTGGTATTTGTTAAGTTCGTTACTGGACGACCCAGTAGCGAACTGAATGGCTTTAAGAGAAAGAATAGCTTACAGACAGAACAAAAAAGAATGAAGAAGTGAAAAAAATTAAATAATCGAGTGAGGAAAACTTGACAATATCACTGAAGGAATCATCGATTCACTTCTAAGGGAACGTTTGTTTCTATAAGTTAGTTGTATAAGTTGTTGTTAATATACCGCATATACGTTTTTGTTAGCGTTAAAACCCGCCGAAGTTTAAATTACTACTCATACTTTGTATAATGAGCCGGTCCGAGCATTTTAGTGACATTTTGGGGGAGATTGAGCATTTTAGTGGGAAAAATGGAGAATTAAATTGGAGCTTTTTAGTGAGGAAACAAAAATATAATGTAAAATGCCTTACATGAACTGTACCGGTTGCTTCCAGAAACCTCTGTAAATGGATGTTACTAAAACGGAGAACGTGGAGCGGGGAACGTACGGGAAAATGAAAAATGAGATCAAAGCAGGGATGTGGAAATGACGTTACTGATAGGGGAAGGGGTCAGGTTAGGTTTTGTTCCCATTTTTCATTTCCCTGTTCCCCATGCCCTTTTCCCTCTTCCCGTTTTAGAAACATCCTCTCCACAGGTTCTGGTTCTTTTCAAGTGACTGTTCAGTGTTCCTGGTTCTTTTCAAGACTGACATGCACATCTTCTCGTTCAAGTATCAGATATCATAATAAATATTATGAAAGTGTCTCAAAGTCACGAAATCGACACAATCCTCTACCTCACGGGATAGTTCAAATTTTAATTACAAAAAGGATTTACCTCGCGAACTACGTTTGCCGATTACAAACGCACTCCAGTTGCTCTACTGCGGGGACTGTGTCTAATTTTTTAAGGTTATTATCGATTGACGTTATTAATTTCATGTTGCATGTCCAAACTCACGATTCAATAAAACTGTAGCGGCATAGATATGGTAGATGTCAACCATGGTATATAATCACTATGGTGGCAATATGTGATAACCACCGTAATGATGTTGGTAGTTGTTGGTGCTGATAATGGCGACTGTCTGCATTACTCATTTTTGTTGCCAAGGTTTCTTTTCTTCCTTTCCCAGGACGAGAGATCCTGGATACGATGTTAGACCAACAGTCTGATTAGTTGACCCATAGTTAATAGAGGACACTCGTTATAAAAGCCTGCAAACATCTAAGATGAAAACAGCGGTGCTGCAGTTTACGTTGGAAGTGCCTTGACCATGCACAATCCTTTGTTTTTTGTTCACCAATTGTGACGGCATAAATTAATGCGATGTTTCCTTTGGTCCGGTAAGTTCAAAAATGATAAGAATGCTGTTGAGCGTTGTGCACTGTCAAGTCTAATAAAGCTAACACAAACATATAACAAAGAAATCTGTCGGGCTTTATGACCATTCCACTTTCTTAACTAAGGCATGGCCGTGCTTGACCGAGAGGCTAAAGCCTGCATTCAGGGCCCGGGCAGGGTGAGGGGCTAGGGGGGGTTGGGGCCAGGGTCTCCCCACTTTTTGAAAAAAAAAATTATTAAAATTAAGAAATACACTTTTTCAAAAAGGAAGCTTTGATGAAATAAGAATATTCGTCTGGCGGGCCTCGCTGACGAATCCAAATATATGAGTGGTCTGTTTCGATCCTATATCATCAGTGGTAAGCCTTTATAAAACAGCGGCACTAAGTCGTAGACTTCTGCGTTTTCAACAGCCAGGTGATGTAATATATGCAACAATGGAGTCTTTTCTATCAAGGTATTGAGCTACGATTTCCTGAAACAAACTGAACTCGAAGACAACATGAATAACTTTCAGCAGAGCATGGTAAATGAAATCGCCCCGATCTGCAAACTTCTGCTGGTTAATCCTGCCCGATCTGCAAACTTCTGCTGGTTAATCCTGCAGCCATCGCAGCAGGAAAAGGTCCTTAACGGCAGCTCGAAGGTTAAAAAATGGCTCCGTTCAACAATGACTAAAGAAAGGTTCTAAACAGCCGCAAGGAAAGAACGGGCAAACTTTGAAGAGAATGAAAAACGCGAAAAATTGATGAGTTGTAACTGTATTAAAAAATATTGAGTCGGCACGTGGTAAACCATTTTTAAAGCCCACTACCCCCCCCCCCCCCCCCCCCCCCCCCCCCCCCACTCCCCCCACCACCAGTCTCACGCTCCC